TTGTGCTTGTGATATGTTGTAAAATGTTGTATGTCTGTTAATGTTTCCCTCCTTTTATCCTTAAAATTAAAAAAAAAAAGAAAAAGAATAAAACTGCTAACAAATTTAAAAAAAAAATAAAATCCATAGGACAAAAATAAATAAGTAAATAAATAAATAAATAAGCTTTCTCACAGGAATAGAGAAATAAAAACAAATACATTAGGAAAGCCGAAAGAGACTGCGCCCACAGCTGCAAATCTCAAAAGAGCTGGTGAAGAACAACACTCTCACAACGGGAAAATCACCATACAACAGGGCAACCTCAGTGGAAAATGAAACAAAGCCTCACACAGCTGTTACTACCTGCTGGGCACTGCTGACTCATGAAGCTTGTGCTTCATCAGTATAAAAGGCATGTCTGCCTTTTGCAGATCCAGAAAGCCCTTGTTTGAATCCACCAGAACTGGGTATGTGAGAGGGAGGCTGGAACTCGCTTGTCACGAAGTTTGTAGAACTGTGAAAGCAGAGCTCAGTAAGGGATCACAGGCAAGGCACGATAGCATGTCGGAGATGAGACGAAGAAAGCAGAGAGACTGATTGTGAGCCACTGTGTGGTGATCTCCATTCAGCTGTCTAAACTGAATAACGAAAGAATAATTTGCACAGCCCTATACCATCATGAAAATTCATGTAAGCCTAGAAGTGATCCCATCCCTTCACCCAGAAAACTTCATGCAAATCTCTGGTCTAAAAATGTGCTCATCTTATCCAAAAATGAGGACTTGTCAGAAAGGAAACATTTCAGAACCTACAAAAGATCTGTGCATTCTAAAAATAAAAGCAATAGGAAAAACAAAAGGGATATAAAAATATTCAACAGAAAAATTACACTAGACAATAAGAAAATCAGGGGAAAATATAATGAGACAGTAAATGATAAAACATCACCTTGCAGAGGTCAGATAAAGGTAGAGTAAAAACAGGATACAACAGAAACAAAGACCAAATTAAAAGTCCCTCAAAAAGGAAAATCATTGTTGAGACCAGTACCAGACAAAGAGAAACAGGTAGACAACAGCTGAGATCAGTGTTAAAAGAGGATCAAGATAAAATAAGAAATGGGAAGAAAAGTTGACACACACAAACACAAGCATAATTGGAAAAGGACATAATTAGTCACTTTTTCATTATTGGCATGAAATACCTGATCATGATTTCAGAGGGTTCAACTCATGGTCAGCTGGCTCTGAGGCAGAAATGGCATGACAGAGGGCTTGTGGAGAAAAATCCCAACTATGGTAGCCAAGAAGCAGAGCGATCAGAAAGAGTCGGAGCACTCCTCGCAACAGTGGCACACTCAGCTATGAACTCACCAATGGACTAAACTATTGGGGAGTACAGAGCCCCCATGAGCCAGTCACCTTCCTAAATCCCCCCTCTGAATACATGAGACTTTGGAGAGACATTTTATACCCAAATCATAGCAATATGTACATGTTTATACACAAAATTCACAGTCACACGCAGACGTACTTCATTTATTTATGTACCCTCCTTTCTACAGTGCAACTCTTTCTCTAAACGTGTAAGCCTGTCTCATCTCCTGCAGATGCTCTTCTTCCTACACATGCAAATGAACACACACAGACATATCACACACGACCTAGGAAAAGCACAAAAACATACCCAACTAAAGTTAATAGAAAGAGTCACAGGAAACTAACACAACCACTAACATACATTTTAGGAACTGTGTAGCTGGAAATGAACTGGAGCATGTATTATCTTCCTAAAACATGTATTACAAAAAGTTTAAACTTTTTAGAAATGTATTATCTCTTTAACTTGTAAAGGTATGAGTATATGTAAATAACTATATTTAAATATACAGTCTACTCTATTTACATTGGTAACATTTCAATATATAGAAGAATCTTAATGTTTTTCTAATCTTAAATATTAGTTTACAGGAAATATGAAGGACACAATAACATGTTAAAGTAACATCATGGACACGCAACTGCAAAAAGTCAAACACTGAGAGAACACATAAGACAATTAAACAGGGTTCTTGAACAAATAAAATGCAAGAAAAAGCAAGCAAAAACATGAAGCGGTGGTCTACATTTTTAATAGTTTCAAAGATATTTAAAAGATAAATACCACTCAAATATACACACATGGAGCTCATTTGTCTGGACAGCCAAAATATAAAATTAATAACACAATTAGGGATATTTGAAGATTAAATAGGCAATTGTTGATAGTAATGAATGTATGAATTTTTAAGAAGTAAGATTATATTTTCATTGCCTGTTCAGATATCTATCATTTTAATATTACTGAAGGAATAATATGACTTCTGAAAATTCCTTTTAAATAATTCATAGTTGCTTAGGGGACACAAAAGAAACATGAAAGAAATAAGACTAGCCATGAGATAAGCCATAATTGTTACAGTGGAATGACAGATATATAGGTGTCCATTGCATTAATTTTTCCATGTTTCTCACAGGCTACATAGAAGACAAAATATGTCATATATGATATTTTTAACCACTGGCTGTAAGAGTACTGTCTCTGCTCAGGAATAGGCAAGAGACTGTTTATAATCTCCAATATCTGCTTGGAGAAGAAACAAATTCATCATTTTCCTAAAATTCCAGGTGTGATCTCATGCTTTAAAACAGCCCCTCTCAATCATCAAACATGTTGGCTGGGACTCAGCTCAGTGCATCTGTACCATCTATAAAGGCCACTGTCTAGGCCATTTCCTTCATAGGTTGCCCCCAGCTCTCACTGCAGTCTTTCACACCTTTCTCAGCCTTCTCAGCTCCAGGAACCATGGTTAGTAGATCCATTCAGAGGAGCCAAAGTGGTAGCCAACATGACTTCAGTGCTAGCCAACCTGAAGTTCCTAGGTGCAACCCAGGGCGCAGTTCTGAAACTCTGGTTTCAGAAACATCTCCACTTGCAGCTCTAGGGGCAGTGGTGGCATGGAGGCAGCATGTGGAGGAGCTGGCTTTGGCAGCAGGAGCCTGTATGGTCTGGTGAGGTTCCAAGAGGACCTCTATCAGAGGGGGCAGCTGTGCCATCGGAGGAGGATATGGCAGCAGAGTTGGAGGTGGCTTTGACTTTGGAGGTGGAGCCGGCAGTGGATTTGGCTGTGCTAGTGGAGTTGGTATTCATTTTGGGCTTGGTGGTGCTGGCTTTGGTGGTAGCTATGAGGATGCTGGATTCCCTGTGTGCCTCCCTGGGGGCATGCAGGAGTTCACCATCATCCAGATTCCTCTCACTCCTCTGAACCCCTGGAAATTGACCCCACCATCCAGCAGACGAGGCCTGAAGAGTGGTAGCTCAAGATCCTCAACAAGTTTGCCTCCTGCGTAGAGAAAGTGATCCAGAAGGCCTGACCCTCTACAGGGCATTTCAGAGTCCCCAGGTAGAGACACAGCAAACCTCCAACAGGGGAGACCAGGACAGAGGGAGGAAGCCTCACAGTAGTTCTTCCCAGGATGGGGGATGACCCCACAGAAATAAGATCAACAGGAAATGTACACCACTTAGAGGCACTAAGTCCCCTCCAGGCCCTGCTTCTCAACCATTCGCACCTAGAAGCACAGAGGAAGCAAGGAGACAGCAGAAGGGCCCTTCTAAACACAGTACAGAATATTGTCAGCTTCCAAGAGAATTTAGAAGTCTGTGGTCTTCTAGTCAGGATGGTGTGACTCAACTGTACAGTATTCAACATCAGTGAAACATGTGCTTTTCCTAAAATTTTTCAAGGAGAGCCAATATGTCATGGTTATTATGTGCCTGATCCAGAAGGAAAAAAATCATTACTCAAGGTAAAATCCACTTTTTTCTCTTTCCTGATGGACTACAGTTTGTAGGACTATGGTTCACAGCTTATAAACGTGGGAACCACCTGCACAATACCACCTGAGATTGTTGATATCAACTGCATGATCCAGAGGCTGAGGTCTGAGACTGAAAAAGTCAAGAAGCAGGTATTGGTGGGAAATGGTAAAGAAAAGCATCGTTTTCTTGCCAAACTATGCTGCAGTTGTGAACTAACATTTGGGATATTTCCTGAGAAATAAAAAAAAATCAGGGAAAGAGACGTGTAGTCCTTGCTCAATGAGAAATCATTGGTTAAAGACATAGATCCCACCAAGGTCATGGTACAAAGATGTAGGCAGAACTAATCTCATTTGATCAAACCAGAAAAATATAGACAGGAATAATTGATTGCCTTTTGCACAAGCAGACTGATTGACTTAGAAATTGCAAATACACATTCTGGGAAAGTAAAAGGAGGCCTGAAAACTGCAGGACCATTGTTGAAAATCTGCTCAAGGGTCTAGGTAAAAAGGGTGTGACACAAGATCAGAGGACAAAGTGTAGTACAAAGATGTGGGGAAGTAGAAGGAAGCCAAGGGGAAAAGCAGGAGGCCAACATTTTGCATAAGTTACTGTGGTATCAGAAATATTCCTGGGTTGCTCTAGGGAACACACTCCAAACCAACTAGTAATTCTATTTATTCCAATATCCCTTCTCTTGTGCAAGCTACAATATCTCTCACAGTACCTAAACTGAATCTCTTAAAATGTGGCTAATACAATGGATATATAGATACTTGTCATATGAGTTCTGACTAGACAAAGACTACAAATAGAAAATCACTGAACATGAACAGAGATCACCTTGCATCCATTGCTGGCTCTACAACCCTGTCTCACTGGCAAAGAAGACCCAGGGCTAAGCTCTTGGTGACGTAACAAACTTCCCTCAGTGAGCCAACCTATAGAACTGATCATCATCAGTGCTGATCAGTATGCAAGGTGGTCCTCAAGGATGCCAAGAATCAGCTGGAAAAGCTGGAGAGTTCCTTGTAGAAGGCTAAGCAGGACATGGTCTGGTGGCTGAAGGAGTACCAGCAGCTCATGAATGTCAAGCTGTCACTGGACATGGAGATCACCACCCATAGAAAGCTGCTGGAAGGCGAGGAGTGCAGGTGGGTCCCTCATACACCCTCTCAAACCTCTGAGGACATCTCTATCTGAGACATCTCTGAAGATGACATCTCCCAAAGAGCAGGAGTTTACAGGACACTAGTCATGGCTGCAATTTCAGCTCTGAAAAACAACTGAAAGGGCAGTTCCACATGGACTCTCCCCAGCCAGAGGATTTCTTTAGGCTACAGGAAGGGGCTTTCTATTTCTCACCCACCTCCCATATTGCTGTTCCAGTAACCTGAATGGTGAAGGTACTGGACAATTCAATATCTGTAAGTACCCAGGGTCTCTGCTTACACCATCACAGCCCAGCTCAGGTGATCATAATGAACTCATGTCCTGTGTCCTCCTCATCCCTCCCAACAGCTGTGGTCCACACCAGCTATTCAGTGACAGTGGTGTGGGAGCAGGATAGGCCTGGTTCAAAAAAGTGGCTACTCCTACAGTTGTGGTTACAGCCTTGGAAGTTTTGGTTACAGCTCCAGTTCTGGCAGGGGCAGAGGCATCAGCAACGGAGGTGGCCTCAGGTCTGCCAGAAGTAGCATTTCTACCATCAAATAAACAAAGTCCTCCTCCAGCAGGAAGAGGTAAAAACACTGAAATTTCACCCCAGATCCTGGGCAAGTACTCTGGCACTCATGCTACAGTACCCTCTGCTCAGTCTATTGTCCTCCCCTGCTCTTCACCTCTGCTCTGTAGCATGAACGGGCTCCCCTGCTCCTCTCTGTATCTGCTCATACCCAGCTCCCATTGCTCACATACAGAATCTCAACCTCTGATTTCACATCATGATTTATTCACACTTGGTGCCTCATGGTGCTGGTCAGTTATCAAGCTCTTGCTTCCATAGTTCTATATCTAAGGCTGAGTATTACTAGAGAATTATCTCTACCTTTCTTTCCAGATCCCTGCCTGGGTTATTCAAGAACCCTGAAGCTCCTTTTTAATTTTAGTGAATATAAGGATACTCCATCTTATTCATGTTCTGAGCCTTTCTTGCAATAGCTGTCATAACACACGTGTCTGGACCTGTAGTACCCAAAAATTATTTCTCTGGGATAGATTTTTTTTTTCTCTGCTTGTGTTTTCTTGTAATTGCAAGGTACGGGGCAGAATGCAGATTTATAAACTAATGTGCGTTACTAATTTTATAAGCTTTTTCTACACACTGGTGTGATTTCATTGTTAAAAGAAAATCTATGTTCTAATATAGCCTTTAGAAATCCATGTCCTCTTGGCCTTTAGAAACAGTCAACAAATACCATTATGGTATCCTGATATCTGGGATTTCCTCATAGTCCAAATTCCATCTAAATTTTTGTCCAGTAGAATGGGAGATATCTGGTTCACCGTCATGGTATATTCTGTATCCTTGGGATATTTGCTGCATGACCCTTAGCAAATACCAATATTTGCAGATGCTCAAGTGCCTTATATACTAGGGTAAATAATATTTGCATATAATTTTCATACAGGCTTTTATAAAATTTAATTTATGTCCATATTACTTATAATACCTAAGCAATATCAATGTTTAGGGAACAGTGAAATAAAAGCCTGTATATCTTCAGTAGAAACTTAATTTTTTCCAAATATTCCTGACCCATAATTGTCTGAATCTAGATATGGGGAACCCACAGAAGTGGATAGCCAAAGCTACTCATTTTCAGCTGTACAAACTAAGAGTCAGTGTCCTAGTCCATCTGCTTTGGTCTCTGACACATTTAAATATAAAAGAATATATTCAGAAATAGCAACAAAACAGAACCAACAGAGCTCCCAATGGCCAAACTGGAACAATTTAAACCAATGCATACATACAGACATACAGACATACACACACATACATACATACATATAATTATTAGATTATGACCTAAAGTACAAAGTAAATATTCATGAGCTTATGTGAATAAAAGTAAATGGTGGAAGAAATGAATCAATAAAAGATAGACAAATTTTATGCAGAAGAGTTATGCCATGAACTGTTGGAGCCAGCCTATTATGGACTGAAACCTCTACAAACTGTCCTGAGACTACACCTGACATGTAGTTCAACAACCTTTGCGAATGGCTTGTGGAAAGAGATTGGAAAAGTTCAGAGATGCCGGCTTAAAACGTAGAGCTGGAACACCTTAGGATGTTCTGTATGGAGGATTCTGGTCAGAGCTCAGAATATCAGAAAGCTTATAGAAATCCTGCTGGTAAAGACCAGGCTCAAGGTTTCTACCAGGAAGAACTGCATTGGCTTTGGACTGCAGACAATGTGTGTTATGGTATGGAAGAAAGTTTGTCTGAATTTTGCTCATGTCCAGAGACTTTCTCTGAGTGGCAGAGTAATTAATCTGGAAGAAGAAATTTCAAGGCAGTCAAATGTTGGGGTGGTGACTTGGCTACTGTTGGGGGGCTTTTAGTCAGATTTATCTTAAGAGTCAAGAGCAAAGAGCCCACCAGAATTATTTACAACACTGTGAGTTTGGCCAGAAAGGAAGGTCCAGTAAAGCTATGGACTGCAAAGATAGAGCAGAAGAGATCTTGATTGCTGATAAGAAACAGGGGAATATAAAAGATGGCCTGAGGGCATCACAAAAAGCAAGACTCCACCCATTGCAGCCTCAAAATTGCAAAAGTGAAGGATTTTGCTTTGGAAAGAGGGCCTCAGAGCACCATGTTCCAGAATGGTGACAGTATAGAGAATTTGTTCCTCAGAGTTGGATTTGGGATGCTCAGTGATCCAGGCACTTGACCCCTACAGCCAGGAGAGGGAGAAGCCTGGCTACTGCTCCAGCTGATAGCAGACCTTGGTATCATCCCTGTGGCACTAGTTTTAGGTGCATGCAGAATAGAGAAGTTGTGGAGTCAGGAAGGCTTTCACCCAGATTTCTGAAGGCCTGGGAGGCCAGTCAATGTGCCCTGAGAGGGCAGAGTGTGAAGCTGTGAGTGTGAAGACAAAGGTGCAGTGGAGACCCTAGAAATTTGGAAAAGCCAAGAACACAGAGTATCTAAGGAAAGCTGCAAGGAGGGAGCAAAGAAGGCCCAAGAAAGAAGGCATGGGAGCTACAACCACTGGATGTGCTATAGGGGCAGAGTCATCCAAACCCTCTGGAGTTCACATCTTGCCACATATTTCCTCAGATGCTGCACATGGAACTACAGGGTTTAATGTTTGCCCTGCTGGATTTTGGACTTGCTTTCACCTCATTATTTTGTATCCACCTGTTTGTAAGTTTTGAAATGGAAATATGTACCTTGTACCACTGAATGTTGAAAGTGTTTAACTTTCTTTTCATTTGTACAAGGGCTCACAGCTAAAAGCTTGCCTTAAAGCTCAGAGCAGACTTGGGACTTGGACTTTTCAGCAATGCTTAAAC